CAAATCTTTATACAAATTTTCCTTTTTCAGCAATTAAGTAAAAATTTATTTTTTAATAAAATTTTAGTATATTTTACTTTAAATTTTATTGCCCACAGCAAAAAGAACATTTTCATTTATTGGAAAACGAAATAAAAAATTAATGAATTTAAATTAAAATGTCAGTTTAATTGAAATGATTTTAAAGTTTAATTGTTTTAACAAAACTTAACGTTTCAATATTTAATTTACAAATACTTGAACATAAATTAAACTGCACAACAAAAATGTCAATGAAAATGTAATAAAATAAAATGTGTCCTTTGCATTTAGGTCAGGACAGCGGCAGATTTATTTAATCTTATTCAACAGTTTGCAGTTGAAAGATTTTAGTAGAGGAAATTACATTTTGCTTTCCTAGCTTTCACTTCCGTCAATTTTGATTTACATTTTTGTTACTTAAATAAATTTAAATGCTCAATTTTTATTTTGAAAAGGTTTATCTTCCTTAGTTAGTTAGCATATTTAAATGAAATGCTGAACTCATGAACTCATGAAATCCTAAAATCATTTAGTATTACTAATCCAAAGGAATTTAATGCAGTAGAAATAAAATTGAGATATAATAACGCTTTATAATCTGTCACAATTATGTTTAACTCAGATGAATTTTAATTTTAAATGTTGAGATTATGTAGGAATTTTTACTTATATGCAGATATATTCAAGAATTAAAAAATGTTGGTAGAGGACTGATGACAAGATAAAAATTATTAACATAAAAAGCATAGAGAAATCGTTTTGTTTTTTATTTTTAAATATGTAATTTGTGTATAACCCATAAATAATTAGTTTTGAAAATATAATACCCATATGTTTATCTTATGAAAACAAATACTAATTGCTGTTGGTTTTTCAAAATGAAATGAAGTGTAAAAATAATAAAACGAACAATGTTTAAATGTATTTGTTTTAGAACAAAACTACTCAATTAATTGATGTTAGCTAAAATAATTTTATTTTAATAATCAGCAGATATTTCACTAAAATTTCGTTAATAAAAAAATTTAACAAGTTAATAAATATAGTTTGCCAAAAAAACTGAATCAGTCGCAGTAATATTTTTATAGGCTTTTAGTTCACGCATCGAATTCTCTTTTATGGTCTTTATGGTCTCTAAACGCGTTCCTTGCAGTGGCAATTTGAGTCGAGGGAAGAGGAAAAAGTCACACGGGGCCATATATGGAGAGTACGGTGCTTCGTTGATGATATTGGTGGAGTTTTTGGCCAAAAATTACGATACAACCAACGCTGTGTGAGGCGGTGCGTTATCGTGGTGTAAAATCATGCAAACGACGCATAACGGTCAAATAATACTCCTTATTGAACGTTTGACCGTCCGGAAGGAATTTATAGTGCACCTCACCACGAATATCGAAGAAAACAGTCAGCATAATTTTGATTTTGGACCGACTTTGGCGTTCTCTTTGCGGTTTCGGCTCAACTTCGAAGCACCATTCGGTCGATTGTTGTTTGGTGGGCATGTCAAATTCACAGACCCATGTCTCATCACCAGTTATGATGCGTGCGATGAATGTGGGGACACTATCCGCGTTGGAAATCATCTCTTTGGCCACATCACAACGACGCTTTTTTTGAATAAAATTCGGCTAAAAATCGCCACATGAAAATTTTTCGACTTCTTTGTATAGAAGCCGAACAAAAACTAATCGTACGATATGCGTTAAACTTTGACAGTAAAATTTACCGATTGGATAAGCGCGGGAATTCAAAAAAAGATCGAATAAATTCATTTTGATCAGAAGGTACATTCATATTTTTTTTTTGATTTGGGATAAGATTTCTTTGGCAAATTATGGTGAATGTTGATCAGGCTGGAGAATGTTAATCATCTGGATTTAGAACCATTAACACTTCAATAACTTTCCAATAACTTGGGACATCCTTGAGACTCCTTTGGAGGTAGGCTTTTCAACACTTCACTACGTATGAGGTCGTAACTTTAGTTTTTTGATTTCCCCAGTTACTTCCTTGTTTTTTTTCAGCAGAATACCTTCCTCATCTAGGTTGTTATTAGGAGTCTGTGCTAGGGTTAATTCTTAAACAAAGGTATTGCTTAGATATTCAGGCAGTATATGCGCCTTTTCAATGTTGCTTTTCGCCCATTCATTATTATTTTTTCTTAAGGAAGGATTATGAAAAATCGGTTTGTCATATTTTTTCACCGTTTTCCAGAGAGAACAATTAGTTTTAATGTCATATATAAACCTCGTAAGATATTTCTTAATATTTTCATTTTTATGGTTTCGGATTTCTTGTCTTAATACTTGAGTGGCAATTTTATGGTTTCTTTTTTTTTCCTGTATTAAACGTGATTCCTGCCATTTTTTGCGAAGTTTTCTTTCATTATTTTATTCTTTTATTACTATATATTTACAGTATATTTAAATATTATTATAAATATTATTATAAATATATAAATATTAATATAATTAAGGTATTTTTTTTATAATAGATACTTGTATTCCATTAATTTCCGATTAAAATAAACTATTAACTATATACTTTTCTCGATTAATTACAGTGAAGTATTTTCGAAAATAAACTAAATTTAGAACGAATTTTAATTATTTAAGTTCTCTGAGCTATTCTTACTTTAACCACACCAATAAGTCTTTTATAAATCAAGAACAAAATGGTTGCTGCATCCTTCATTAACTTGTGTAACCATTTTGTTAATTCTTCCATTCCATACGTAGGTGTTGTTCTGGAGCAAACAATAAGAGCCTTAAAATCGTTCATGAAGTACATTTAAGCAGAAAACACACTTAAAACACAACAAATTAAATGAAGGAAATATTTACTTTAAGCAGAGGAGAATTAAAGTGGGTGTGAGTAAAAAAAGCATTTCAGGATTTAATGGGCAAATGTAGTCTGAGTGTTTAAAGAACTTAATGGCTTCGTTTTACTGAGAAAAGACATCATGCGGTAAATATTACTCCATAGGGCAGTAAATTTAGAATTTTATGGCACAAGGTCGGTATATAAACAAACAATGTAGTCAGCATTGCAGTTATCATTAAGTTTTTCTTTCGAGAAATACACAGAATATGTTTTAAAGGCAGTAAACATAACAGGATTTGGGGTAAACGTTGAATATAGAAAAAGTAAGACATGAAGCCTTCTTATATAAAAATAAAATTTTAAGGTCAAATTTGAGATGGTTTATATTTTGAAATATAATAAAATTTAAAGGTCAATACATTTGAGTAGATTTGTAGTATAACCCTTAAATAAAATACTTAATACAGTTTAGCATTTGTAAAAGATTATTGAGGATCATTGTTACTGTTAATTGTCGCAGTCAGGATGGTAAAGTTGCCCCAAAGATAAGAGTTGAATATGACACTAGATAGTGAAACATTCTTTGTTTATATAGATATTCATTTATATAAATTTATAGTTCAATATCGTATAAAAAATTATCTGAAGTAATTACATGTCTCTTAAGAACTCCTTATTTGATTTTTTTAAAAGTGATATTTGTGCACTTATAGTATTTGTTATCTGAATATACTCATATGCTATATTTGCGCTTTAAGATTACAGGAACTAAAATTAATGTCTCCGTCCCAATTAATCTTTAAAGTGTCAAAATTAATCTGAAACGAATTTCAATCATTTTAAGATTAATTTTGACACTTCAAAAAAATTAAGTGTCATTGATTAAAACTGCAAGCATTTTTGTACAACAAAAAATAATGTATGTTTACGATAAGTAACTATTTGGAATAACTTTGTTCTAAAGATAAGATTCATTATGTTTCACAATAATCTAGTAGCAGTTTTCATTACTTTTTACTTACATACAAATTATTGATCACTGCAACATGATTTAACTTGAATCTCATTTAAAAGGAGATTTAATTTTTGTATATTTAATATGCGATCACACAACTAGACTATAGTTTTTATTCAGATAACTGCAATGATCAAATATTTTTTTAAAAAAACGTACTACATTTTTCCTAATTGACGTAAGATTACAATTATAATTATAATCAAAATTATCTACATACATTTGAACGACTTTAACTTTAATCTCATAGAAAGAAGATATGATATTTGCATATAAAATCTGTGATTTAATAACAAGTTAACGGCTAGACCTCAACTACAGCTTTTATTAATTTCAAGTTTCATATAATATAAAATAATAATTGAAATAATATTTCAACACATCTTTAAACGAAATGTCGATAAGTAATTGATGAGAACTTAGTGAGTCAAATTGTTACTGAGTTCTTTCTGTGCTGAAGCTATTAATAAAAGATGGTAACACCGAACGATATGCAGGCATCTGTATGCAATCTGGCAACTTTCTACTGAAAGAAAAGAAAATATTTTCATTGACTCGTAGAGATATCAGTTTTATGGTCTTATGCTAGAAGATTGAATCTCCCTTTCAATCACACTTGTCGCAGCTGTGGGGAAGGCAATGAAAGTGCCTCTCATCTACTTTGTCTTTGCCCAGCTCATGCATGGAGACGCCACAACACTTTGGGAGACCACGTTCTTAAGAATCATGGACAAGACCTGGCACTAAATAGCATTCTAAGCTGCGCCAAAGGTTCTAGGTGGTTTTAAATCCTGAGTTTTCTATGTATACGGTAACACAATGAGCCAATCCCCTAGGGATCACTGGTATAACCTAACCTACCTAATCTAATATTTCAACACAGTGTAGATAAAAAATATTTGATCAGTTTAGAGAAGCAGGTAGCTTTCCAATAATTTGCTCTTCACAGACTTGAAGGAGAGAAGCAGAATTCACTGTTTATCTTATTTCCTTATTGCATTATTATCAGTTGGTCAACTGGGGTCAATGAAAAATCATCAACATCACAAATAATAAATATGTATTGTAAACACAACAGTAGTTGCTTTTTTTTATTTAAAATTTATTTATTCATTGACTAAACAATTTTTTAAAAAATATAAACAGCAAGATCAGAAGTATCCTAGTTTCCTTAATACCACAATCCTTTTCAAAAGTTCATGTTCGTGTAATCTAATAAGTAGGCAAATGTTAAAACTAACTCAGGTTTATAATATTTATGTATAATTATAGATAATTATTAATATTAATTTAAATATTTTAACCAAGACTTATAAACTAAAAATTATAAAATAATTTTTAAATAGCATATACATACTTTACTTAGGTGTCAGAGTAGTTAACGATTTTAAGTCTCTCCAGTATATTTCATGGTCACATGTTAGCCTATTTATTTATAAAAATTTTTTTTAAATTAAAATTTTAATCAATTTTTTTAGCGTATATATAGTATTCCTTACGGTCTTATACAAATGAATTATGCACTTTATTGAATTATTCAAACATCGCTTTCAGAAGACTGCTCTTCGAATTGTGCGTTTTCTGCTACTGAAACATAAACCATTCGTTCATCGAAGTTGACCTCTTCTATAAATGAATTTCGATCGCGTACTATTACATATAGTCCCGACTCTAATTGCTGTAAGTTCAAATTTTTCTTTCGAGACCTCCTTTTATAAAGATTATTATATCCTTTATTGATAACACCTGTTGTAAAATGCTTGTATTTAGTACTATTTTCCTTTTTCCTATAAAAATTGGTTCCAGTAAATCTGAGCGCAGTATCGCTTTGAAATGTTAGTGGTCTGTGCGCCTCAACATATTGACTTATCTCAGCCTGGTCCATAGAATTAGAAGAGTTTTCAACGTCAAAAATGTCATCCATCATACAAAAAATATATAAATCAGTGATAAAAAAAACTAGAATCTATGTTATATTTAAGAAAAGTTTTTGTAGCAATTTATTTACTTGACAAATTTTTGACAGTAAAAAGAAGGGTAAGTATGTTCATGGAAAATACATGATTCAAATGTTTATACATCTATATTACGACTATATTTGATATGTTAATGATGATCATGATATATGGTACTCGTAAATAAATGAAACATCTTAACATTTTTAAATATATGATCAAGTTTGTTGTAGTTTTTACAAGTTGAATGTAGTTTTTAGTATGTCTAGGTGAATTCTTAGGTTTACCATACAGCTGTTTCGAGTATTTAGCAATATTTATTAAAATATAACTTATTAAAACCAGTAAATATGTATTTTCAAAATTCATTGATTATGGGTATTTGGTAATACTAGAAACTGTCAATCAATCTATGAATAAATATAAAATTTTGTTTCGATTCACTACTATTCAAAAACCCTTCTATTAGTGAAAGAGTTTTCGTTATAAAAATAAAAATAAAAAAAAACAATCAAAAATTACATTATTATTATTATTGTTATTATTATTTATTGATTCAAAAATTAATACAGTACTTACAAAAATGATAGAATTTTGCTTAAAATCTAAATTGACAATAACATATTTGTTGTATGTGAGATTGGCATACAAAAAATGATACATATCATTAACGTTACTATTCATATAAATTTATCAATAAATAATCTTCTGTAACTTAAAACACTTTTCATAAATTTATACAGGTTATTTGTATCGTTTAACAAGACTTTAACTTCTTCTTCGGACAAAAGTGCTTTATAAAAAAAAAATACATCTAACATATGTTCTCTGAAAATTGGACATACACCAATAATATGGATAGAGCCCTGAAACTATTTATAAAAACTGACAGGCTTAACAACACCGCGTTATCGAATCTTAGCATTGTTACAGGCTCCTAGGGGAGGTATGCAGATTTGAGGTCAGTTATTGCATAGTCTGATGAAGTGATAAATAATAATCCAGTCAAGGTGTAGAGAGGGGTTATAAAGAAACTTCGCAGTTAATAGAGAGTAAAAGTGCTCAATGCACTAACTCAACTTATTTCAATATAATATATGGCATATATTTTCTATTTCATGACGATTAGTCGATATAGAAACCTTTACTTAACACCCAAAAAAAGGAATCCAAAGAAAATTCATTGTTTATAGTTAACATTCACAAAGTAAATATTTCAATGAATCTTCCTTTGAAAGTAAAAATAGTTTTATGTTTCTAATTTGAGATAAATTGCAGTAATAAAAGATAGTAAAATATATAAATTTTACTAAAAAAAAAATGGAAAAATTTAACTTTTCCTAATTTATACCTGAAAGATAAACAAAATTTATTTTAAGTTGCAACTACTTGTATCTTCTGCTTAAAATGTTCTTAAAATAATGAGACCGAGCCCAGTGAGCTCAATAAATTAAAGAAAATAATTGCACCAAAGCTGTGAGCTGGCATGAACCAAGGCTTCAGTAGCCTTGCGAATTCAAACAGAAAAATTCAATTAGCACATCCATAAAATAGAGCGAAAAATTGCTCACCTGTGTACACAGAACGGAAGGACAAGTACGGATGATAATGGAATTAGTTACGCTGATAATGTGCTTTTCAGCAGAAATAAAAATGTGAAGTTTAGAAAATTTCGTATTTGAAAAATAAAAATTCTTGTAAAATACTTGTAGTGTTTTCATCGAAGTGGGTTGTGAATAAAAGATAGACTAAAAAATACTTCAAATAGTAATCAGAGAAGTACAGAAAAATAAAAATTAAAATTGTAATATGAGGGAAAATTCGCAAAATACTTAATAAAGTAATTAATTATTGTTATTTTAATTGAATTTTAACTTTAACACTATTTCTTACTACTTTAACATCGTTTTATTATATTTAATAATCATAAGTTGCATTTTAGGTATTGGCCCAAGCAATTTTTGAAACGTCATTGAGTACTGCATTTATTTTTAAAAGGAAAGCTTGGAAGTTATTACTATCAAGTTTTTTTAATTTTTTAAATATTATCAATATTTTGGTCAGCTTCTTTGATATAATCATTAATTTTTTCATATACAGTGAAATTTCCATAACTCGAAGTACCATTTTGCAAAGAAAAGGTTTAATTTATGGAGACTTCGATTTAGGGAATTTTTTTTTTTTTTTGAAAGAATCTAGAATTACATTGTAAGATATTTAACCAGCACAGAGGTTAAAGTAAAATATTCAGAAACTAGGTCATGGGATTTTAATTTCTTTTTTTTTATAAGTAAATGGTTTGTTCAGTGCCTTTGTTTCCACTTATCAATCCAACCAGTGCTTACCATAAAATTATCATTACCAAACCGTTTCGCAAACTCCACTGCTTTCTTCTTTTATATTCCTCAAGATATAGGAATGATTTGATCGACATTTTTAAATATTGTTTTTTTTACTCTTTTCCTGCATTCAGAAGAAGTATCAGACTCCAATAAAACGGTAACTGATTCTTTATGTCTTAAAATTGTTGAAACTGTACTCGCCAGAATGCTATATTTCGCAGCCACTTCTATTTTTTTTGACCCACTTTCGATATCTTTAATTAGTTCAAATTTTTACTGTACTACACGACTTTACACTAATCGACGTTGTTCACTTTTATAATCAAAAGCAAATGGCATTTGCATAAATAAGCAAAATAAGAAAAAAAAAATTAAACATTTGGTTTGGTAAAAGGGACTTCCCCTAACACCAAAATGTAGTCATACTTAAAACAAAACTTCGACTTATAGAATGCACTTTCCCATAGTCCTATTGGCACGTGACAATATTTTTATTCGAGTTATAGAGAAAATCGAGTTATAGAAGTTGGAGTAGAATTGTATGTAATTTGCTCTCTAAAACGCTGTTGCACTCTTGTTAGTTCGAGTTATGGAAGTTTGACTGTATTTTTATTTTAATTTATTAAATTACTTCATTAGACTGCTTTCATCGCATAAGTACCTTTTACGGCAAATTGCTTTATGTAGAGAATGTTTGTTTTTCTTGAAGTTTTTTTTACATTTTCGTTTATTTGACATAATTAATTATTTTACTTACATTGTGAAGTTCAAAAACAAGTATCCTTTTGAACCAGCTAATTAATTATCGTGTTTGTTTACACTTAGGAGCAAATTGAAAATTAATACGGCAAGGAATGGTATTATAAATCAGTCAAGAAAATAAAGTTTAATAGTGAAAACACATTTATTTTCTTGGTCGATTAAAAAAACTTACGCAAAATAAAAAACACAAACATTTCGAAAACAGATGCAATTAAGTGAAATTGCCTTAAGGATGTAAATTATATGCAACCATTTTCGCTGGGTCAATTTACAGCGTTCTCGTCCTGAAGTCCTGAATGCAACAGATAACGTTAATTGCCTGTGGATTTAAAGTTGTGCGAAAATCTGAGCTGCTGTTCAAAGTTCACAGTACGCAACACTTGCACTTGTGGAGAACATCGATTTTATTGTAGCTTCGAAGCAGAGTCATCAAAAGAGATGTGGTTTATATCAATATATACACATCGTTGATAATGTTGAGTTATTGTTCTTAAAATGGCATAGATTACTGATTTTACACAAACCCTGAAGTGATAAAACACAATAAATAAAAGATACATTAAATGGTTTGTAAAAAGATATTTTACTTCTCTTCGAATTTAAAGATTTTATGCTCTGAAGATTTATTTCAAAATAAAATAGAAACAAATATATTTATGTGTTTAAATTTACAAGCCTTACATTTTATTAAGAGGCTAAGCTTCAGTTTGGTTATTGAGCATTCCTGCAAATTTCAATACAAGTTCTTATCAAATTATTTTAAAATTATTTACAAATTAATTTTCAAATTTTTTCTAATATAATAAATCAAAAAAAAAATTAAACTATGATTTCAAAAATAACATGTGAGTTATTTTCGACACCTTGGAACTCTTAGTTTCATAGGTGATTTCTGAACTGGTATATAGTGCCACATTGCAATATCATTAAAAGAGAAAGAATGATGTTTATTATTAACTAGCTGCACTTAATAGGTCAATGATTGGAATGAGTGATATCATAAAAGCATTAAATAATATTTAACATACTTTTTGTGACATAAATCTATTTCAATTGCATAAATTAGGTGGATAAAAGTTGTCCAGAAAAATAATTCTGGAAAAAACATTCCAACTTAAAGTAATAATTAAGCCACAGAATTAAATGAATTTAAAAATTCAAGAGTTATTGGGAAGACATCCATAACACGATACCGATACCGATAATATACTGATAACATTATAAATTGACTTGTAAAAGACTCAAGTCCAAATTAACGTCACTTAGTTTGGGAGTTCTTAAAGTAAGAAATTTTATATCACCTGAAGATCTTTTAGAGTTCATTCAATGTAACAATTTTGAAAAAAAATTTGATTTAAATAAATTTCAATATTTATCAGTAATATGAAATACTATGTCATATCCTATATATCCTATAGAGATCACGTAGTATAAATATTATGTAGATCAACTTGGAGGTTTTGGGAATCCAATTATTATGAACACAAAGCAACTTAAATTATGTATATTCATGTATGAATTTAATCATTTATTATTAGTAATAATATTAAGAGATTCGAACATGCAGAAAAAATAAAATCATATTAGAATATTCTGTATACTAAGTAAATGAAGACACATGTTTAAGGAACCTAAATATAAAAATATTTACTCAGGCTACCAAGCTACCCATTCCAGTACACAAAAGTAGAAGGAGCGTAGAAGAGCTTGGTATTTAGCAAATTTATCAATTTATAAAAGTCGAAGGTAGACGTATTTTGTTAGGCGGGTTGGTATTATTGATGAAGGGGATGGGGTGTACGCAAAATTGCGAGGGAGTCTATTTATGTATAAACTCTACACTCAAAATAAAAAAAAACCACGATTATAGAACGGAATAAGTGATGGAAAGGCAA